AGTTGCTATATTTTCTAGATTCAGAACTGAAAATTCATCAGACATCAAATACTTGTATATGGGGAAAGGTATTACCTTTTTGAAGGCACCACCAACTCTTTTAAAAGCATTTCAATTTATTATTTTTATTTTATGTGGCATATGTAAATGCACTCATGTGTGCAATGCCCATAGAGGTCAGAAGAAGGCGTCAGATCCCCTGGAACTGGAGTTATGGGACAGTTGTTAGCTGCCATGTGGGTGCTGGGAATTGAAACCAGGTCCTCTGTAAGAGCAGTTGGTGCTCTTAACTGCTGAGCCACCTCTCCAGCCCCCAGTTGTTTGTTTGTTTTAACATTTTGTTTACTATTTATTTTTATGTTATATGTATGAGTGTATTGCCTGCATGTATATAAGAGCACCCATGTTGTACAATGCCTCTGGAGGTCAGAAGAGGGTGTTAGATCCCATGGATGGTTGTTAGCTGCCATGTGGGTTCTGAGAATTGAACTGGGTCTGGAGGATCCAATGCCTTCTTTTGGCCTTTGTGGTCATTGCATGACATGGGTGCGCTTACATACATGCAGGCAATAAACTCACACATATAAAAATAAAGATAAAAGATTTTTAAAAATTTATTGGGCTGGATGGAGATGGCTCAGTGATTAAGAGCACTGTCTGCTATTGCAGAAGATCTGGGTTCGAATCCCAGCACCCGCATGCTGGCTAACAACTGTCTGTTAACTCTAGTTCCAGGGATCTGATGCCCTCTTCTGACCTCGATGGACATTGCATGACACGGGTGCACTTACATACATGCAGGCAATACGCTCATACACATAAAACAATAAAAATACTATAATATAAAAATTATTTATTACTGGTTCATGTGTATGCATGTGTGGATGTCAGAGGAAAATTTTTAAAAAATATTTTATTATTTTAATTTTATTATTATTATTTTTTGTCTTTTTGAGACAAGGTCTCCCTGTAGCCCCAGCTGTCCTGGAACTATGTAGCCCAGGCTTGTCTCAAACTAACAGAGATCCGCCTGTCTCTGCCTCCTACGTGCTGGGATTAAAGGCGTGTGCCACCACGCCTGGCTATTTTTATTTATTTATTTTTAAACTATTTTATTTAAAGCCAGGTGTGGTGGTGCATGCCTTTAGCCCCAGCACTTGGGAGGAGGCAGGTGGATCTCTGTGAGTTCTAGGCTAGCCTAGTTTTCATATTGAGTTCTAGGCCAGCTGGGGCTACAGGGAGATCCTGTCTCAAAAAGACAAAAAAAAAATTTACTTTTATTTTATGTGTATGCGTGTATTGCCTGCATGTAGGTAAGTTGCACTTGTGTCATG